AAAGTTTCATATACGAATTACGAAATGATATGTGTGAATAATAAAAACCACAAGTTCAAATTCAAGGCCTAGAAAAGTGTATACCTGAGTCAAATAAATTATTCAAATGTCTTAAATATATTTATCGATATAAAAAACTAAAAATTAATACAAGTAATCACTTACTTTACGAATAAAACCAATTGCAGTTGATCATAAAATCCAAAAAAGAAATTGAACAAGATGATATATATAAATAAATCTATATACATATATGTATATACGTATTCGTTTTACAGTTCATCCAATGTCGAATGCAGTTGTCGCGTATTTCTAATGGATCCCCGAGTACGTATACAGGTACTACCTCTACATATACACATACATACACACATGTAGGTTTTTATTTATATGCTGCTCATACGCTCATTCGGCTACTTGTGGATTCTTTTGTTTCGGACTCGTTGATGCTCAATGCAATCGGCTTAGAAATGTGGATTTCTCACACAATTATTGTTAATTTGATATATCGAGAATGTTGTTTATAATATACTACTGTGTGCGGGTCAGGTGTGTAGAAGACTAAATGTTAATTTGTATGCGTGATTTTCATTTCTTTTTACTTTTTCTGTAGATGCTTTGCTGGCTTTTATGTTTTTGTTTGTGCTTTACGCGCGCGTTCGTTTCGTTTTAGTTGTTGGTTCGTTTCACACTAAGCGACACGAAAATCATTGAAATTTTCTACTCAAGCGAAAATGTTTTCGTCTGCTGACTGCGACGGCGACGTCAGCGCCAACGGCAACTGCGGTGCAGAGCAGGAAAAACCCAAAAAAAAAAAAAAAAACAGAAAAAAATCTCATTTATTTTTTCAACTGCAAGGAGGCAGAACATAAGGAGAGCAAGCGAGAGAGAGAGAGTTCGTCAGTGTGAAGCAGAGAGAGAGAGAGAGAGAGAGAGAGTGTGTGTGAGTGAGCACTAATGGCCAGCAATGAAAAGCTTTTGCTTCTTCATTTCTTCGTTTGTTTGTTTGTTTTTGTTATGGCGCGCTACGAAGTTGCCAGACTGCCTCAATACCAACATGGCGTATGCGTAATGCTGTTTTTAAAAACGCCAAACGCTTGTTCCACAAGCCTCTATATGCGTGTGTCTGAATGCCTGAGTGTGTGTGTGGGGGGGAATTTAAGGAGGCGTTTTGATAATGTTTAGCATTCATAGTTGCGGCTGTGTCGGCGTCAAACTCAATTTCTTCCTTGAAACATTGCTTGAATTTTTAAATATTTTAACTGACACATTGTGTATAAGGGAGTGAGAGTGTGCGCTTGGAATCCAAGATACAAAGTAACATATGATGTATACATACATATATCGGAATATGGCCAAGTGGATATACGGACTACGCCTTGAGAATATTGCTTACATGGCACTAAAGATAATAGCTTTAATTTTCTACATGGCTACTCTTGCTTTGGCTTACAAGAGTTACTACAAAAGCTATGAATAATAAATTTGAGTTATCATAAGAAGAGAAAACTAGACATATTGTCTACAAGTTTTAGATAAAATTTAATGTAATATAAAATATCTAAATTTTACTTTAAGTAATTTAACAAACTTGCTCAAGAGAAGACTGCTACTACAAAATCAGTCATAAATATATATATTTGTTTTAGTTATGTTTTCAATAAAATTAAGTTTTAAATCTTATTTTTGTATATAATAAACTCATATAAATACATACTAAGATTCATATACTATATACAAACATACTTTTATAGGTGCAATTCGTAGCTCTTTACTTCTTCAGCTGAGCTTTTACAAATCCTAACGCAATGTCAATTAAGGAAAAATAATGGAAAACAAAATATATACACTTCTAGCACTTGTCCATCTAAATTTCCGGTACGTGAACTAAACAGAATTAAGCTCAGAAAGCCAGAGAAACAGTTTGTCATGTTTAACCTTCGTGACGGACTTATTGGACCTTGAATTATAGATTAATTACAGTCGGAAACGAGAGCTATGCAGCGCTCTCGAGGGCGTCACAATGATGTTTTTACAATAAAACCCTGTTCAAGGACTCGCCTGGACACTGTCACATAGCCACACACACACACACACCCACGCACACGTACTTCTAAGCACACACTCATGCATTTAATATGTGCGCGTGTATGTGGCATCTACAGGTAGCCGCAGCAACGATGCCCCCAACAGCTTACTTCGATTTTCTAACGAAATCGAAACTCTACACTGCAAGAGAGCGTCAGCAGCCGAGTGAGCGAAAGAAATCAGAGAGCGCAAAGAAACGGTGAAAGAGAGGCAGACCAAGAGTGAGAGAGTGTAGGCAAAAGCGCTAAATGCGCTTTAGAATTGCATTCGAGTGAAGCTGCATCGGAATGGCATAGAAAGTATTTGTATGCTAGCAAAATTTACAGTTATTTTATCTATTCGTTTCATTGTTCTTTTTCGTTTATGCTTACGTTTTTGGGTTTGGTCTCCCGCTAGCTGGGCTGTATTACAAAATTTTCAGTTCAGCGTTGTTAATAATTCATGACAAATATTTAGATGCACACACACACGAACACGCACACGCACATGCTGACACACTCGCGTACACACAGCGCGTAACTGACACAGCAACAAGAAAATGCGTTGTGTGCTTTGAGGCGCCCGCAAGGACTAGCGCCACTCACGACTGTCCTTTGCCAACTGAAGGCTCGACACGAATGTTGTACAGCTTTAAAGCGGCGTCGAAATGGGATTGCACTTGAAGCTTCCACTGCTGACCAAGTTTCGACTTGGCTTCGGCTCGACCTGCCTCGGCTCGACTCGGTGATTCGGCTCGTGTCAGCTCGTGTCTGTGTCTGTGCATGTAGGCCAGAACAGAAACGAGCCTCCTTTTTATTGAATTTTTGCGCGCACGCATCAGCAGATAAGCTTTCAATGGCACCGCAAATGGTAGGAGTGTGCAAGGCGTGTAGTCTTTATACGGGGCGGGGGAGCTGGGCAAAGCTGAAGCGTATGCTTGCGGTAAATTGCAAGCCAGCCAAGTTGTAAACAAATCATTAAAGGGCGAACAGCAATTCGTTGGAATGATAAGCTCAGGTGAGCTTTTAAAAAGCTTTATTGCCTAAGGCCACAGGAGCAATTAAAATTATATGAAGTGTTAATTGATGTGATTTCAAAACGATAAGAATAAGTGAAAACCGATAAATGAGAACGAATTAATTCTCAATGTATGATTTTATAATAAATTCATTTTAGGAATTATATAAATGTTTTGCTATTGTTCACTTTAAAAATATGCTTGGTATTTTTCAAAATGTAAACTGTTTCTAATCTTGAAGCGCCCCCTGTTTCGTGAAAGCTTTTAAAAAGCTCAATTGCACCCTACAACACAATGTAAACAATTATTGTTTATGAAAAAAGCTTTCTGCCCCAGCTCATACGATTCGAAAAGCAACAATGATAACACAACTGAAGTCCGCTAACAGAGCAAGAAAAGCTTTTCACAACAACAACAACGACGCAAGAACATTTTGCGTGCTTTTGTTTTGTTTGCTTTAAATTTTGTTTATTCTGAGAGCTGTTGCTGCGCTGTGGCTGTTTCAAATGTTCGCTGAGAGTTAGAAACTCATTGTCGGTGGATGACAACTTACACATACAAACACGAAAACAAACGCTCACATATACACATACAACATCTACATTTCGCAGGGGAAGATGCACATTGGTGCAGGGCTGTTGACAACCGGAATCGAATCATATGTTATTGCTTGCATTCAGGTAACAATAATCGAAAAGAAGGCGATCACAAAGGCAATGAGTAACGGTAAATTACAAGCGAAAAAGAGTAGACATACATGTAGATCTGACTGATGTAGTATTTTAGTATTTGCATTTTGGTCTTAGTTATTTATTGTTAATAACAAATTAAAATAATTTAAAATTTTGAAATACTTAATAGAATATGTATATTTATAATACCCATATTCAAATTAATACCCAACACCGTTGGTTACCCATAATATCGATCAACATATTCACTAATATGCTGTTAACGCAATTCAATTATGTTTAGTGGGAACCGAGACCACAGTGAAGCACATTTTTGTTGTTTCTGTCGTCGTTGGCTTCGTCGTTTCTGCTTTGTGTTTCTGTCTCTTTGCATTTTGTAGCGCGCAGTTGCCGTTGCTCTGCTGCTGCTGTTGCTGCTGCTGTTTTGTCTCTGCCTCTGAGTGTATGAGTGTGTGAGTGTGCTCGTGTTTGTGTGTGTGTATTGTTTGTATTATTTGTTGTTCGCCAGCAACAACAACAATAAAAAGTTGTACTTTTGTTGTTGCCAGCTGTTGTCCGCTCGTGTGTGTGAGTGTATGTGTTGCTCGCTCTGTGTGCGAGAGAGAAAGAGAGCAGCGTTTTGTGCGTTGTTCTCTGTTTGCTGTTGTCGTCGCACAGTGGTACAATGTGTAGCAAAGCTGCTTAAATTTGTAATAGAACTATTGCATATGATAATAATATAATACTATAATACTATATACTATATACTATAATATTATTATTAAAATATTAGGAAGTTCCTTACATATACTAAGATATTGAGTTTATGCTTAGGCATTTTTATTTATACACATTTACAAACAGTATTACTTATGGTTGTTAATGAACTTCTTGAAATCAACATTTATTGGGTATGATAAAAAATTATTAGTATGGGAAGTAATAATATTACTAATAATAATAGTTGTGTAAAATTGTGGAATTTAATATTTGTGGTACATACTAATAATATCGATATTTTAGTGAGGATAAATAACATTACACTTTTAAAATATTAATATATGTAATTTTATACCAAATTATGAGAATCTATTTAATTTTTTGGGTTAATAACAAACAATAAATGCGAAAAATTGTTATCGTGCTATGCTAGCTGCGTACCACTGTACATCGCTGCCGCTGCTTGCCTGCTTCTGCTGCTGCTGCTGTTGCTGTTGTTTTTGTTGTTGCTCTGTTGTGTTCTACTGTAGCTGATAGATACCGAGTATCTGAGTGTGTTTAGTCGCTTTCGTCGCTTGAAACGTGAAACATACGACAACTGAAAACGAAATTAAAATTGCAACTTTTTGTACGTTACGTCAGTCCCCGTCGCTGTTGTTGTTACAGTCGCAGTCGCACTCGCAGTCCCTGCTGCAGTCATCAGCGCTGCTATCGTCGCCGTCGTAGCGGACAATTTTTGGCGCCGTTTTGTGTGCGCCGCGGAACTGGCTTAAAGAATAAGCGCGATTTGAATTTAGTAATTGGGTAAACGGTTTTTCAAAACAGCCCGGCCCGGACGCATATTGCACAGTACAGGTAAAATAAACAACATGTTCGAAACGTACATGTTTTCGAAACAATAATATAAAAACCACCCGAGCAACAACAACAACAACCATGCCTTGGCTAGATAAGCAACAACAATTCACCAACAAGAAAAATTCTATATGCCATAGTGTAACTGTTTGTGTGCCCATGTGTATGTGTGTGTTTGTGCCTTTTGTTGCTGCTGCTGCTGCTGCTGCTGATGCTATGCCTGTGTTGCTGTTGTTGTTGTCGCTGCTGCTGCTGTTGTTGTTCTATCTAACAAAGTTATTGCCTTTGCCTTCGCTGCTGCTGCTGCTATTGTCATGGGCAAAGGGGGCAGTGGTTTGTGGCAGAGGCTGCCGGGTATTTCTGCAAGTTTTGTGTGTGTTTTGTTAGCTTTAGAAATATTCTGTTGTTGTTGTTTTTTGTGTTTTCTTGTTTTGCACGTTGCTGTACTTTTTGTGTGCTGCTGCTGTTGTTGCTGTGTTGCTATACAAATATACATACATACATATATAGTCATAAACGTACATATGTATGTACAATACACACAATAAACATTCGACCACGTAGGTACATACAAATGTTCATATGTATGTATGTACATACATACAGTTATTTGTCTTCACAAATGTGTGTACACAACTAACGTACGTATTTTATGTTAATAGACAAATCACAATTAATATTGCCAGCTAGTTTATTGTCTGCCCCTCTACTTGTCATACTATAACAACAACAACAACACCGCTACAATAATAACCATTGCGCAGGCGGTACAACAACAACAACGAAAATTCAGCAAGCAGCAGCAGCAGAAACTACAACAACAAACTTGCTGCTGCTGCTCTGTCTCTGTCTCTGCTGCTGCTGCTGCGTCAGCGACGCTGGCAACTGTTAAAGGCGAACAAACAAAACTAACGAAAACAACAAAAACAAATGACGAATAATACAGAACATACGACAACGACAGCGACAGCAGCAGAAGCAGCAATGGCAATAACAAAAGCAACGTCAACAGCAACAACAACTACAGCAACAGCAACAACAACAATAGCAATAGCAACGATAACAACAACAGCCAGAACAGAAACACGCGCGCAGCGTAGCAGATGATAATGAAGTTGGCAATGTTGATAATAATGATGACGACAAAAACAACATAACAACCGTGCCACAGTGGGCCGAATATCCCCCCTATTTATAGCACAACAAAACTTGTGCAAATATAACAAATTCTAAGTAATTTAATTAGCGCCTATTAAAATTAGTTTTTCATAGAAAATATGATATGTATATATGTATGTATATACATAAATGATAATAGAAATAACTGTATGCATAGCCAGCTAATCAAGTTGGTTTGTTTAGTTTTTGGCATAATTATTTATTATTCATATTCACTTTTCGACAACACATTTCATGCTCGTAGCCCACTGTGCGCACGTTGTTTGTGTGCGAAACTGGTGGGCTTAGCGCAAGGTGCTGAAAGTGGCGGGAAAATTTGTTAAAGATTTTAGCGACAGCCGCAACGGAGAGCAAGAGAGACCTACAGACAGACAGGCAGAGTGTGAGAGTGAGCGGGATTTATGAAGACTGAGACAGAGAGAGAGAGAGAGAGAGCGAGAGAGAGCGGTGGCCCAGAGCTGAGTGGGTTGATTAGAATCAAAACAGGTAGTCGCAACAAGCAGTTGCAATAACAGTTAGTGGCAGAGGGGGGAGGGACGGTCAGTCAGTCGAAGCATTAAACGAATCATTTGGTGAGTGAATCGGAATTGCTGTGAATACATTAACTCAAAAGCCGACGGAGCTGTTATCAAAACAGCGTAAATAGATGCATGTGTGTGTGTGAGTCTGTTTTTTGTATGGCGAAAAGAATGGCAAAAATTTGTTACAATAATGAAAAAAAAAGAGTGTGTAGAGTGCCGAATTGCCTGTTATTCTTGTTATTTCCTTTATGGCTGTTGTTATTGTGGCTATAATAATGCTAAAAGCAAACAATGTTGCTCATGTTGTTGTCGTCGTCGTCGACCACAAATGTCACGAAACTGCTTTGAAAAACACAACAGCGACAGCAACAACAGCGTCCAGTGTTTTATTAGATTTCACAAAATACACAGAGTTATGACGACAGCAACAGCAACAACAAAATACCAATTGCAAAAAGCTCACTGACGTCTGCTGCTGCTGCTGCTGTTGTTGTTGTTGCTGAGACAGCAGCAACACCAACACATATGCAAGCCAAAAGCACTTTGAGACAGAGCACCCAATCGCATTGAGTAAACGTTTCTCTTGTTCTGACTGTTAGCAACAACAACAACAGTTGCAGTTGCTGTTGTTATCAGCATGGCTGACAGCGGCAGCAACAACAGCAGCAGCGAGCGCATTGCAACATTAAACAGCAAACTGATTGCACATTCTGTAATTAACAGACTGCAACAATAAACAAGGCAACAACAACAACAACAACGAGTGGAACGAATATGACCACCTCAACGCCCAGCAGCACCACCACCGCCAGCAACAACACCAGCACCAGCAGCAATACCAGTAACAACAACAACAACAACAGCAGCTACAACAACAACGATAACAACAATCGACAGGGGGACAGCGAGCGTGCAACATCGGCAACAGCAACGGCAACGGCAACTTTGTACAACAGCAACAGCCCGAGTGCAACATCAGCAGCCATAGGATCAACAAATCGTGTCATGCAAGCGGACGAGGATTTCAACATACGATTCGTTAATTTGGTACGCACGCACCGCTGTCTGTACGACAAGAAAGTGCCGGAGTATCGCAACAGGTGAGTGAGCGATGGGAGCGTGAGGCGATTAATTGATATTGGACTCAGCAAATTGATTAACTTGGCTAATGACATGTTAATGATGTAACGTCGAGTAAGAAGTAAATTTGGTAGAAAATTATATGTAGACAGAGATGATAAACTGAGACGATTAGTCAGTTAATAGTAATAGAATCTGTAAATTGCAGAAGATAAGGGAGTGAGTCGATCAATTGGCTTTAGAGTAATTGAATAAGTCCGAAAACTTAGGCAAAGATGATGAATAATATATATGTGATTAGTTACTTAATTGCTTAAAATCAAGAGTAAGAAAAACATTTTTGCAATGGGTGAGTCGCCAAATTAATATGGATATTGCACAATGATTATATAGTACTATTATACTGAACAATCGTATAAGATGAAAATTAGCAAAGTTCAGATATATTGCATTAGTGATGAGAACGTGACTCTCTTCCGAATAATGACTAATTGCATACTAATATGTGTAGTTACGCGATAAGGATCCATCCAGGATTAAAGATCTGTAGAATTAGAGGTGGGAGAGAGAGTCTGTGATGAATTTGTTGATTTTAATTGAGCTGAGAGCAAGTCGTGCTCGAACAACAACAACAATAGTAGTGTAGGAGCGAGAGTCAATGTCTTGTATTAATAATGAATTTGTTGATTTTAATTGAGCTGGGAGCAAGTCGTGCTCGAACAACGACATTTTGTGCGCAAGACATATAATTATTAACGATTCGTAAAAGATGACTAATAGGTGGAAGATCTTTAATTCAATGAGAGTGTAGTCTTAAGGAAGAATCCATCATATTAGATCTATAAAGTCTGCTAATGCTGAAGAGTCAAATAACAAAAGGAATATAAATAGTAGTCTAGGAAAAATATAGGATAAGTTTATTCTTACTTGTCTTTTTTCGTATGCCAATTTATTTTGGGTTCTACCTCATGAAACCCTCGTCTGTTCACTGTAACGATAAGTTGGAGTAGAAATAGGTGTTATTAGAGTAGAGTGATAGATTATGATAATAATTTAATTGAAAACTAAAGTTTCAATAGATTTGTATACATCTTTTAATACTTTGTACCTTCCTCCTTATCCACCTTCTCCTTTCTTCCCGACTCATCAATGTGATGTGATATCTCTAATAGTTTCAACAACTCTTGACTTTGCAGAGACAACCAGGAGAAGGCCTGGGCGCTGATATCAAAGGAGACACGCGAGAGCGGTATGTTTGTCTTTAACATACCCATTATATCCGATTCTATATATATGCACATTTATCTCACCCCCACCGCAGTGATACACTGCAAGGAACGATGGAGGAATCTGCGTGCCTGCCTCTCGCGCTATATCAAACAGCAGAGCGGCTCGGAGCCGCAGCACAAACCCTATTATCTGACCGAGCATATGGCCTTCCTGCTGCCCTTCCTCAAGTCCACGCGTAACTCGTTGGATGGCAATGCGAGCTTGGCTAGCCTCTATCAGTTCTCGCAGCAGCACTTGCACCTGCAGCAGCAGCATCAGCATCAGCAGGAGCATTTGTACTGCAACAACAACAACAATAACAATATTGCTCTCAATGGGTCACTGGAGCTGAAGCAGTCGCTGTCGGAGAACGACGATGAGGAGACGATCGATGCTTTTGATCCAGCCATAGCCGCAACGTTGGGCCTCCAGCGCGCTGCACCCACTCCCGGCTCCAATGTGTTGGCCGCTCCCAGCTCGCCGGCGCATAGCGAGACGGCGAGCGCGAATAGCCTACAGAACTTCATACCCGACGTGCAGCTGGCAGAGTCTGGGCAGGATCTGATATACAACGATGCAGCCTCCACGCCGCTGCACCATCAGCTGCAGCACGCCCACAACCATATGCTCCACCATCATCACATGCAACAGCAGCAGCAACAGCAGGTGGCGCACTTCGAGCCCAGCAGCGCGAAGCGCATCAAAACCGAATGCGATGCGACGGGCAGCGGCGTCGCTTACTTTGGCGGACTCAGTGCTACGGAGCACACGGACATGGAGTTCTTCCGTAGCATTCTGCCTGACATTGCGGCACTGACGCCGCAGCAGCGACGCAAATTCAAAATTGGCATACTAGAACTAATCGATGAGGTTGTGGAGCGCTATCCATCGCAGGAGCGATTGAACGGTGCTGTTCCTAATGGCAACGGCAGCGGCAGCTCTGCTGCTCCCGGTGGTGCTGGTGTTGGTGGCGGCGGGGGTGGTGCTGGTTCAGCTGGCAACAGCACAGCGGGGCGATACCAGCGCCGCAATTCAGGTCGGGAATACAAGTTTAAGATCTAAGCACTTTATATAATTTTAGATGTTTAGTTAGATAATCTTGAACTAATTGATGCTGAGAGCTGAGAAGCTGAAGATGCGAGAAGCTAATTAACTGATAAACAAATAATTGAAACATGCCATAAACATTTATGATTGAAACTCAGTGAATATAAGAGACAAGTTTCGATGCAGTTGATAATACTTAGATTGAGAGAGCTTAAGAGTCTTATAAAATGCATTTCTTTTACAAACACATATTTTTTAATAGGGCATATCAATTCGAATTATTTTAAACTAAATTATTATTTAAATTTACTATTCAATTCGAATTTTATATTTTTTCTTAGACAACTTCTTTGTTCATTCAAATATAATTATTATTTAGCTATAATAGGTCTTAAATGTATCTTCAAATTACTTCATATGAATTTTTTCATAATTTTACATTTTCAACTTTTTGTTTTGTAAATTATATTTGTAGTAATTCCTTGAAATTTTTGTCGTAAGTTTTTATTTGAAATTCAATATTAATTTTTTTGTATTTATTTATTTTTTTACTCTATTTAAGAAGGGATTATTTGTAGAACCCTTTTTCACAGCATTATTTATTTAATTTTGCAAAGTATTTTAGGCATCTCAATCTCAATTATTTTCTCTGAAATTCAATCTGCAATTTGTTTTACAAAATTTTTGACATTAACTTAAAATGGTTTTTCCTATTGTCTGATTAAGTCTCTGTTAAATTGATCAACAGTTTCAGCATCGCAGCTCTTCAGCCCTTCGATGTTCGGTGTCCAAGTGTCGTGTGCTCAATGTGCTAGTTGTAGATATTAATGAACTTAGTTGTGGCAGCTGTTGGCTGCTGCAGCGCTAATTGTTGTGTTTATCTAGGAAATATTGAATAGGATAAGCCGCTTTGTATATAGAAATGGATGTTTTGTTATAGTACGTATTTAGGCTAAGCTATATAGAATTGATGTACAAATTCGTTGCAGTTTAGACTAAGGCGAGAGATTCCTCAACTCGTGTCAAAGAAATAAATCAGTGTATGAAAATATTACATGATATAGTTGTTTTATTATAAAGCTTCAGAACATCAACATGGGGCGGCAGCTGGCAACTGCTGCATAAATTTCATAGTGAGAAATGCATTCGAAATAACGCTATATAATTCATAATTCTCTTTAAAGCTAAATATCGTTTTTTTGGGTTGTCGTCGCTTACAACTTCGAAGCGTTAGTCTTGGGATAGAATTTCTTGGATGGATCCTTGGCCATGTCGATCAGTGTTTGGGCTGGCTTGAAGGGAGCACCGTACAGCTCGGCGTAGGACTGCATTTTGCTGGCTAGCTTGCCGGCACCGTACTGATCCACCCAGCGGAAGGGGCCGCCCGTAAATGGTGGGAAGCCCAGTCCGAAGACTGCACCCACATCGCCTTCCAGTGGACTGTCGAGGATCTTCTCCTCCAGGCAGAGCACAGCTTCGTTGACGAAGCGCGAGACCATGCGCAATGTCAAGTCCTCGGGAGTATTGGCGCCCTTGGACACCAGCGAATACTTCTGCTTCACAATCTCCAGGGCTTCAGTGTTCACTGGACGGCTGCCCTTGCTTTGGCCATCGTACAAGAAAATGCCTTTGCCGGACTTGCGGCCCAAGAATCCTGCCAAGACCAGATCCTGCATGACTTCCAAGTTGCCGCCACTGAAGCGCTCTCCGAATGATTTGGCCAAATCCACGGCAATGTGGGAGCCCACATCAATGCCAACCTCATCGGCCAATGTGGCAGCGCCCACAGGGAAGCCGAACTTCTTAGTTAATTGATCCAATTCCTTGGCATCCACGCCCTCTTGCAGCAGTCTTAGTAAGAGAAAATTGACATATTTGTTTGCTAGGTACAGGAAGGATTCAGGGATTCTCACCTTATGGCTTCGGACAACATGGTGGCCAAAATGCGCGTGGTATAGAAGCCGGGACCGTCTCCCACGGTGATCACAACTTTGCCCTGTTTGAGGCCGACGGCAACAGCCTGAGCTACGGTGTCCTTGGAGGTGCCTGGATGTGTAATGATCTCCAGCAGCTGCATCTTGTCCACGGGCGAGAAATAATGCATGCCAACCACTTTATCGGGACGTGAGCTGCCCGCAGCAATCTTTGTTATGGGAATGGCGCTGGTGTTGGTAGCAATGACGCAGTGCTCCGGCACCACAGCCTCCAGCTCCTTGATCACACGATGCTTGATTTTGATGTCCTCAAATACAGCCTCGATCACAATGTCGGCAGTCTTGAAGTCATTGTAGTTAAGTGTGGGCAGCAGATTCGCCAGCGTCTGGTCGCGTTCCAGAGCCGTGATGCGCTTGCGCTTAACAGCCGTTTCCAGGCCTTTCTGCACTTGCCCGATGCCGCGTGCCAGACCCGCATCGGTCGCGTCTTTCATCACCACATTGTAGCCCTTATCCACAGAGACCTGCACGATGCCTGCACCCATGAGACCAGCGCCCAGCACACCCAAAGTCTTGACGGAGCGCTGGGGCTTACCGAACCGATTCTTCTTGCACTCGGTCTGGCCGCGGAATAGAGCGATCAGACCCTTCGACTCGGGTGTGGCCGAGAGTTCACCAAAGCCCTTACGCTCCGCCTCGTAGCCAGCATCGGTGCCCTTGTCCACACCAGTGCGAATCACATCCAGAATCTACAGAGCAGAGCAGAGCAAATCATGAGAATCTGTGCAAGTGGCGAGCAAATTTGCAGCCCGTTTACCTTCAGGGGAGCAGGATAGAGTCCACCAGAAGCCTTCATCACCTGCTTGCGCGCTGTATCAAAGATTTTGTTCTTCACAAAGTCTGTGTCCATGACGAGCGCTTGCAGCTTGTTGACCAAGCCAGATTTCTCGCGATTGACCTGGGGGACAACCACAGTATTTCATCTTGTATTTTGATAACAATATTAACAGCCTTACGCGCAGTTTTCCGCTGGCCAAGTCGTTGGCCACTTGAATGGCCGTCTTTTCCAGATAATCCATGGTGTTCTGTTCGGCGGGCTGCAGTCCGGGGCCAATGGGATCGACCAGCAGGTCGACAATGCCCAAGCGCTTGGCGCGATCGGCACGCACCTGTTTGCCGGTCAGCTCCAAGTCCAGGGCTGTGGGCACGGATGTCAGCCTGGGCAGGCGCACAGTGCCGCCGCCGCCGGGCAGCAGACCCAGCATGACCTCCGGCAGACCCAGTTTCGTCTTGTTATCCTTGGTTGCAATGCGATAGTGGCAGGCCAGCGCCAGCTCTAATCCTCCGCCCAGGCAGACGCCGCTGATGGCGGCCACAACGGGCTTGCGACTGCGCTCCAGGCGCTCAAACATCAGTTGGGCGCCGTGCGAGATGAGAGTTGCCTCCTCGGCCGTCTGGCACGCCTCCAGCATGCCGATATCGGCGCCGGCTATAAAGCAGCCCGGCTTGCCCGATATGAGCACGGCCGAGTTGACCGAGGGATTTGTCTCCAGCTCTTTAATCACACGCTCGAACTCATCGCTCACCTCGCTGCCCAGGGAGTTGACCTTGGCATCGGGCGAGTCGAACCTAATAACGAGCACTCCATTCACGACCTTCGTGTGCAGATGCTTATTGGAAGCGGTAGCAGCGGGGGCGGCAGCCGGCGCGATCTTCGGGGCTGGGTTTGTGGACATTAGGCGACGATGTAACTGCACTGATGCCGGGTACACTGGGAGTGAATAATGAATGTTAACATAGTTATCACTAAATCATATTTTATACACAGGTCCAGCATTTTCGCTATCTCTAACGGCAATAGTACAAAGTTCAAAGTCCAATTTTCAGATTGCTAATATCTCAAATATCAAAAAGGCTATAAATGTATTTCTTTATCTGTAATATATAAATATGTGTCGAGTATTGTTTTCTATCTGCATTTATCGTTCGATACGGAGTTATTATTAGTTAAAGTTATCATTGTTTAATTACCTCTGGAGCATTTATGGTGCAGCAATTGTTGTCGAGTTATTTGACCAATTGCACACAGAATTCGCGACGACATGTTTACACTGATTTGGCTCTGCACAGTTCGTTGTAAATATTATAAGTTATTATAAATAGTATTCGTATGCACTTTCAGCTTGAAAATTAAATTTACTAAAATAAAAAATTGTATAAAAACTTGTGCCGACTTGTTGCACACTGCAAGCACCGACAACGTAAGCGAAACTATCGATGACAGGAATCGGCCAGCCGCCACATTTCGTAAATGGCACAAGAGTGGTATAAATGACAGCTAGATGGCGCTTCATAAATGCACTTGGCTGCAGCAGTCTGACCAATGCAATTCGAGTGCAGAAAAGTATGCAATCATGTATATATAGTAGTTTAACAGTTGTATTCGTATTTATCCAGATGCAGACACAGTCCTTGGTTTTACAGATTGTCTATTAATGATTAAAATCTTTCTAGTTTGATTTAGTGAAGTAATTATAGTGACACGCTTCATAACTGAAGGAGTAAAGCTGCGTGCTTTAATTTATCGGTAGATGGCGCCATCTAATTAATCAAATGTAACAGGTTTTTAAATTAATTTGTATATAATTAAAAATGCTACTACAAAATGCAAAAATATGTTTATACAATTAAATTGAGTGTTTAACAACTAAATATTTAATTATATTGTTGATAATAATAAATAAAGAGCACCCAATTTAAGAATTAGCTTAATTCTGGCCTTGATTTGTAAATACTTCCTATGTGACGGCTCACAGCTTTGTATTAATTTCTTATGTTTCCATGTTATATTCAACATTCCACACTATAATCAGTGAACTTTAACTAATTGATATATGTTCGTCATGATCAGCCCGCTGATCTTGTAGGGTCGTTGAGGCCAGCATCATTTTGGTTGATTTTTGTATGTCAAATACTCAAGTGTGACTTCTCGGCTGTGGCTTTTGACACATCCTGTCCATCAGAAAACACTCGGGCAATCCAGCTGCAGGAATGCAAAAAAACGATTAACTATTTAATTTATGATACGTGGCAAAAGCTGTGCGCATTCAACGTCAACTGTTGCGACAATAAAAACCCACAACAATGTGCCGAAATGTTCATCCAAAACTATTTAACGTGCCCACTTCAAAAGGACACGCCACAAAGAGAACAAACGCCTTGGCGCAAATGAGGCGCGCTTAATGTGCGGTTGAATGAGTCCTGGACGCATGCGCAGAGCGCTGACCCAAGCGATGCGGCCGAGTGTCATGCATGTCCCTCAAATTGTGTCACGGGGTGGGTCAGCGTGGAAATCGCCGCGAAAACAATAGAACAAAGAAGTAGTTGCCCAGAGAAGATTTTTCTTGCTAAAAAGAAGAGAGAATATTTAGTTTTAGATTGAAATTTTTTATATTGGATATTACAATTTTATTTGATACTTTTTATATGAATTATGTAAAAAATTGATTAGTTAGGCGAATGAGAAAAGCATATAATGGAAATGATTAAATAGAACAAAAAATATATATACATATATAATAAAACCTGTATACAAAAAATAAAACTTATTTTACTGATAACAAATTTCAGTTTGCATTACGAATTTCAAGGGGTTTGTGTAAATTTTAAGATGTAGATTATTATTCTAGTGGCATGAATACTACGAATTACCGAAGGTCGCAGAACTTATAGAATTGGTGAATTATTGATTTTTTTCAAGGGAACGGCAGCTCTTACGAATTATTGCGAAATTCGATTTAGTGAAAGTGCAAATTGTTGCAAATTTATTATTAAATCTTATATTATTTGGCTCTAATCAATACAAAGCTATTCTAAACAATATAAAATTCTGATGAATATATATAATATAATCACGATGTATGTATGTGTGTTTATTATGATTTGCCGAATTTCAAGTCGAATATTTAAGCAAAAATATAACGAAATTTGTTGTTATTATTATTTTATACTTAAATATTCAGTATTTCAGCATAAATAAAAAACATATAAAACTAAAGTCATTCAACGGAATTTTTTTTTATAATTAGATTATTATTTGTTTAAAATTATTGTTTTTTTTTTTAATTTATGCTGTATTTTTTAAATAATCAAAGAAGCACTAGATTAAATAATATTTTAACTTTTTTTTGGCTGTCAAAAAATTCTATAATTAAATATAAAAAAGGATGTTCGCAAAACATTCAAGAAAAAATAATAATATTTAAGCAAAATTTAAAAATATTCCACCCAAGTTTTTTTTTTATAAGATTATTATTTTATTATTATATTATTATAAATTATAAAATAAATTATTTTACTTATAATAATTAAATTTAATGTTTTTGGGACTACTCACACTAGCATAAATTTTATAATATACATACGTACAAAATTCAGTTACATTGATGCAATATGCTCTCCCCTGATGTGTTGTTACCCGTCCAAATGCCACTCTATATAAAGATATAAACACCTAAACACACTCTTGATTAATATTTGATAAACCAGTAATCCCTAAATGATTTTTTATGCACAATTAAAGGAGCAGTCAGAAGTGCTCAACTATTTTAAATCCACTTTTTGTAATAGTTTTTTTTTTATGCTAAGCTGATTATAAATAATTGAAAGTAAAATGGAATAAAATGGTATAAAGAAAAAAAAAAACGTATGTTGCTCGAAAGGGTTTCCCAGGAGCGCGACCCTAATGAGGGTTTGAGGTTGCGACCATAAACAAAACGCCCATTAGTTGTCATGTTGAGCGTGTGCGCGACTCCCGACGCGTGCGTCCTTCAAGGATATTCGCGGATTGTAAACGAGGCGGGGCCGGGGCGCGTTGGGGTGGTGGGCAATCGAGATGACTTTGTTTCACTCGATATTTGCATACATAATTCAAGTTCAGATGGCAGACAACCCTCGAGTGCAAATGAAAACATTTATAATGTTTTGATTTCATTTTATGTTAATTTCCCCACCATAAATCAAACAACAGCGTGTGCTTCCTGTCTTCCTGCGTATTTGTCCGTGTTTTGTTTGATTAGACCCTAAAGAAATCATATTTATATACATATATATATATATATATATATGTATATAGCACCCAGTTGTATGCAAATGCGTTGACTGACTTTGTTCCATTTGTGTTATCCTCAGCTGAGCCGTATGCAAATTAGCTTGCCTTGATCCTTTCGCTGCCTTTTGTAATTCAATATTCGCGCGAAGCCGAGCGCAGATTTGCCGTAAATGATCTATTCGCACATTTCAACCAATTTCGGGGTGGAGGCTGTGCGAATTTGCCAAAGCTAATTCAATATGCCGGGTAACAGCCACACAGAGCCAGCCAATTTGCTAATGGGCATTCGCAAATAATTAAGTCGCTGAGCGAAATGTTGAAGGTTTTATTGAAATGAAAATAATATTTAAATTTGTAGGGTTATCGATGAAAATTGAAATATACATTAGAATCAATTAGCTTTGGGAAATATTTATTATTATTATTATTATTATTATTTAATTGTTATCAAAAATGAATTATGAATAAAAATTTTTTGTTAAGCCAGAGAAAGGTCCTTAGGCATGGGAACTATTTATAAAATATAAAATTATTTTAAATATATAAAATTGCTATACCTGTGAAATTAATATTAAAATGAAATGAATATGAGATATTTTTAAAATTTGAGATATTTTTTTAAATATATAGTTATAATGGTAATAATAATAATAATATAATTTAGTTGTCGCTTTAACTGAATTCGCAGTATGTATTCTATGTAAAAGCCAATAAAAAATAAAAAAGCTTTCCCTAATTATGTAATACTAATCTTAACACTCGGCAAAGTTTTACTTTCTGAAAGCATAGATCGCATCTATTTCTAGTACACAGCAACAGTTGAGAATGTTGTAAAACTCAAACTGCTTTGCTGTTTGAAAGGTTTAAGGAATACTTCATTTCACTTTGGGCAATGACAAAAGTAACACGACAACGCCTAGCACATTTTGCATTTAACTGAAAACTATTTAGTTTTTTTTTTTTACATACACCATTTTTTACATATATATAAATAAAAAAAAAAATTTAATATATCATTTATAAGCTAAAAATGGCGAGAAGTCGCGATACGTTGCAGAAGAAGAGCCCGATCCGAAAGGCTGTGAAAAAGGGGAGCAATCCAAAGCAGAATATAACCATTCCAATGGTGTTGAATTGCAATGGCAAAGCCTCCGATCTGTTGCCCTGGTTCATCAAGGTGGTCGAGATGCTCAGCAAGGAGTGTACGCAGAAGATGGCCGCCAAGACTCGGGCCAAGGGCTCGGGTAAGACGCAGCTGTTGCCATTGTCAGAGCCACTGCTGCCGGCAATACCGATCGAAGGCATACACATGGACACGGCGGATTACATGCAGGTCTCCAGCGACGACTCTGTGCTGTCAGAGTTTCCTTTGAGCAACACCTCCGACAAATCGACCCGTACCAAGAGTCGCAAACAGGTCAATGTGGTTCGATGCCGTAAAAATTGGACAATGAAGCACCGGACCTGCACATTGGCTCCTAAGCGCAAGTACACGAAGCGTAAGCGTCCAGAGAGCGACTCGGTTCAGATCTTGTCGGACGTCTCGCAAGTGCATCTGACCAGCTCCACTTCCTCGCCTTGCACCTCATGGGATGGACCAAAGTTGGTCGTATCATCATCCACAGATTCGGGAAAATCGATTCCTGACTCCTCGGACGTTTCTATGCCGGCAGCCCCAATAGAGGCGAGGGCTTTGGTTCTGAACGAGGCTGTGGCCAAGTTCGACGCCCGAATGATGATGTTCCTCACGGCACAGCGTGCCGCTCTCGATGCCTTCAATGCAGCTGGCGATGGCCTGACCAGCGCGTGCAGGAGCAGCAGTAATCAAACCGTGTACCGTTTCCCGGATGCATGGAACGAGGTGGTCCGAAGTCAAGATGCCGAGATTCAGCAAGCGGCCCAATGTGAATTCGACTCGAGCATGGAGCATCTTTATCTGTCGCCCTCAACGGATCAGGAGGGCTCCTCACCCAGGTTCGCAGCCCATATCGAACGCTCCAAGGCAGCCAACGTTCCAGACGCGACCATATTCAACCATATACGAAACAGCTTGCACGATATATGCCACAATTTTTCGGCCCAACCAAATAGATCCACCAGCCCCGCTCAAACGGGACCAAATTGCGATGATGCTGAAACAAGCCAG